TTCACCGAAACAATAACGTGATGTCAAATAAGGCGCACACCTTTAACGCTGCATTTTCTCAGTTTTTCTCGTCCACACTTTATAGCAAAAACTGAGTTTTCGAAAATATCCACCCTGGCCGGAGTTTTTAGAAATCTCAGTTTTCAGTGACCAAAAACGCCGTTTACGTGTGGACAAAAGGTGCAAACGCATAGAAAAAGCTGCGTTTTCAAAAATACCCGGGTACGTGTGGACGTAGCCTAAGACTCAGTCTATGCTGCTCATTTTGTCGGGTCTTTACATAAGTACTTCAAGATGAATAGTGTTTTGAAGTGATAAATCCTTGAACCTTTCCAGTTACTATTTTATGTTTTTAACTTAAATTACATTATTTTCTGGGTTAGAATCTTTTTTTTTTCCTATTTCATAATTTATTTGAACACCTGGCTTAAACTCAGATTTGTACACAGGCTTTGTTTTTGAATGAGCCTCAAAATCTTAGGTAAAATTTACAATCAGTGCTCTTTGATGACATCCTCTTCATCCAATCCGTTGACCTCAAGAGCTCGGATGATCACTGGTGGGTGGATTGTTCCCTGCAGTCAGCAAATCAGAAAAGAAACACAGATGCAGTCTATAAAATGTTAACAGTTGTAGTTATAGACAGATATCTGTCATCAGTTCATTGATTATTGATTGTTTAATAATTGATAAGTGAATGAGTCAGTGTTACCTGTGGCTCTCTGTCGATGTACAGATGCAACAAGAAGAGTGGAGATTAAATATGGACAGAACACCAGCAGGTAGCGAAGCAGTGTAAAGTCAAAATGCAGGGGGCTTGAGGTAGAAGGTGAAGGTGCTGATGTGGGCGGGGCTGTAGTCGCAGGTCTACCTGCAGATAGAATCCCATCTATTCAGGTAAACTTGTGGCTGAAATAAGACATGAAATGAGTGTGAAGCTCCTCACCTGTGACAGTGATCCAGCTGGATGGAGACTCTCCATGACCGCTGATGTCACACTTGTAGAGGCCTTCATCAGACCTGGAAACATGCTGGATGGTCATGTGACCTGTAGGCTGCTTCCTGATGAGGGAGCCATCTTTATAGAAAGCAGCTGGGAGGTTGGAGGGAGTGGTCTTTGTTTTACAGAGCAGAGTGACGTCATCTCCCTCCATCACAGGGAGGACAGGACTCTGCAGGATCACTGATCCACCTCAACACAGAGACAAACTACAGCATTTCATCCATTTACACACAGCTTCATCAACACTAACTCCACACACTCAGCTTACCAGTGACTGTCAGGTTAACCATGTTACTGATGGGACCCTCTCTGGACTCACACCAGTAAACTCCACTGTCCCATGAGTATATGTAGCTGATGTTACATGAAGAACCGGCACCTTTGCCCCACACATCTCCACACTGAGTCCTCTGTTCTTTGCTTGTGTTTCTCCTCAGAGTCCATCCAGCAGAGCTGTCGTCCTCCTCACAGCTCAGAGACACAACGTCTCTTTAAAGAACTGAGAGCTGCTGGGACTCACAGTCAGACGAGCTGTGAGGGTTAAATGAAAAACTGATGATCTGTTAGACTTTACATTGTGAAACATGAACCCAATCAGGTCATATCAGTGAGCATTTCTCAGGTTTAAACTGTGACAGAAGAAGGTTACTGACCTTGGTTTGTTGTGCAGCTCAGCAGTGAGATCAGAACTAAAGAGAAATGACACTCAGGTTGATTTGAGTGAACATAAAGAACAACTCCACACAAACAGCTGACAAACACACAAACTTATCTTTCTCTGATATATCTGCTCATTTTCTGCTTGATGCCAGCAACATGGTCCAGTAAAGTTTGAAGAAGAACGGACTAAATACAAAAATATCAATATCCAAAGTTTAACAATTAACTTTGGCTAAATCGAGGTGAAACCTATCAGGGTATAAATGTGACAGGTCACCAGACAAATGCAGACCTGACATGAAGATAAAGATAAAGAGTCAGTTCAGACCTGCAGTTGGTCCTCGTGGTGTTTTGAACTTGAATTCAGCCTGATTTGTTTTTCATGTCTTCTCCTCCATCATCAGTTATCAGGAGAGCAGACAGTCAAAGTACAAGAATTCAAACAAACACAGAGATTCTACTTACAGAGCAGACACAGCACAGATGTTTCCTTCATCGTCCTTCTCACTCATTTGAGCTTTTTTTCATTTCTGTCACTGACACCAAGTAAAGCCCGCCCTCTTCCTCTCAGTCTGTGGTTTTTATGCTCTTGGGTGGAAGTTGGGTTGTTTTTTTTCAAATTAAACCTTTAAAATCCTGCAAGGCCTCTTGACCTCAAAATAATTTGAATCAAAACCCTGTTGCTGCTTTAACATAATTTCTGGAAAAATCAGGCTGCTTCCTGATGAGGGAGCCATCTTTATAGAAAGCAGCTGGGAGGTTGGAGGGAGTGGTCTTTGTTTTACAGAGCAGAGTGACGTCATCTCCCTCCATCACAGGGAGGACAGGACTCTGCAGGATCACTGATCCACCTCAACACAGAGACAAACTACAGCATTTCATCCATTTACACACAGCTTCATCAACACTAACTCCACACACTCAGCTTACCAGTGACTGTCAGGTTAACCATGTTACTGATGGACCCTCTTTGGACTCACACCAGTAAACTCCACTGTCTCGTTACGATGTACTGATGTTACAGGAGATCCAGACCATCTTCCAAAGTTCTTTCCACATTGAATCATCACTTTATTGCTTATGTTTCTTCTCAGAGTCCATCCAGCAGAGCTGTCCTCGTCCTGACAACTCAGAGATACAAAGTCTAATTCAAACAGCTGAGAGCTGCTGGGACTCACAGTCAGACGAGCTGTGAAAATAGGAGAGGTTAGACTCATTTTCATGGCTGCTTGTGCAGTCGGTCCACACATTGGCTCACATGATTACAGAGATTATCATGATCTTGAAATATAAAAATAAAATTATTTTTTAAATTTTTTTTCATCATAATATTAAAATTTAATCAAAATAACTCGCGGAAGCCGGTATATATATATGTATATACCCGCCAAAATGCAATGCATTTATTGAGACTTTCAACCCCAAGCAGGTAAATTATGGAGAAATGTAAGATAAGAAAAATATCTGAAGAAGATTTAATGTTGTCTTGGCAGATTTGTTTGCATTTACTTCTGATGAGAGCGGCCTACCAGTATGCCTAATTTGTGGATTGTTGATCTTAGGATCCGCATACATAATTGAGCAGCTATTCTCCACCATGAACTATGTTAAAAACAAAACCACTCACGCCTCACAGACGACAGCTTACAGTCCTGCGTAAAGATGAAAGTGACTTCGTACAGCCCCGGTCTGCAGACGCTGGGCGCAGAGGTCCCATTGTAAACAAACCACGGCAGACCCGACGATGTTTGCTGTACACATGCAGCTGGCTTCAGCTTTCTGGCACACAGCCCGACACATAACACAACAGCAGAGAGAGCACAGACTATAAGGCGGTGTGGCTCAGGCGCGACCACCTCTCCTGCAGCAGCACTGCAGGCCACGCCCCGCCATACAGGTACCAGGTAACCAGGTAAAATTAATATTCATGCAGAGATTTTGTGAATATTTATTATTCATTTTTTAGGAGCGTAGTGTTTTTTCCAATTATTTTTAGAATTCAGGTTAAGGCTCCGAAAGCCCAAATGCGATATAAGGATCAGTTTTTGTTTGCTACATGGATAATTTAAGTTCAGCTTTTTAATTGATTTAAATTGATTTTTTGTTATAAATTTTTTAAGAGTTTAAAATGTGTTCATTACATAAATAAAATTTCATTTACTTTGTAGCATTTCGTGGATTTCATAAACAACACACTATAGTGGTTTATACAAAGCATAAAGGTAAAAAACAATGTATGCAGTGTTATCTTCATTTTAGATGTCAAAAAGTGTTTTCTTTTCAGTGAAAACAGGGTCCAAATGGCTCTTTGGATCTTAAAGGTTGCTGACCCCTATTTTAGTCCAACACAGAGGCATATCAGTGGCCTGCAGCTATTACCGCTGCTGTTGGGAGAGGCGCAGTCCGAGGTTCTGAGCCTGCCGGCAGCCCCACAGCAGAGCTTCGATGACATCAGCAGGGCCATTTTGGATAGATTGGGCCTCTCTGTCCAAAATCATCGGCAGAAGTTCTGGATCATCACATGCAGCCAAATGACAGCAGCAGAACAGCTGTTTGGGACACTGACTCTGGGGAGGAGACACTTCTCTACCCTGACGGTTTGTACCAATTTGGCTCATTTCAGTTACCTTCCAGAGCCTCATGGACCGGGTGCTGTGGCTGCATGCTGCATATGCTGAGACCTACCTCGATGATGTGATCCTCCACAGTAACACCTCGGCAGACCATGTGCAGCGGGTGGCCGTGGTTCTGGAGTCCCTAAAGCAGGCAGGCAGACCTCAAGGCCAAACTAAAGAAGTGTGCAGTTGGATAGAGGGAGGTACGGTATCTGGGATTCCACTTGGAGGGAGGGCAGGTGTGTCTACAGATGGAGAAGTAAGCCGCCATTGCATCCTGCACACACCCCAAGACCAAAAAGGAAGTGAGGCGGTTCATGGAGCTGCCTGGGTACTATGATCAGTTCATGCCTGGGTTCGTGGGCCTGACCTAGATCTGGTCTCATGGATGGATCACTGCCAGGCGGCATTTGTGCAGGTGAAAAATGCTCTCTATGGGGAGCCGCTGCTCCACACACTACGAGGTTGAGGTGAGTCTTGCCTCCTCGACCACCTCTTGAAACTGAAGTGAAACACATCAAAACTTTGTTAAGTCATGGTCATGTGACCTGGGTGTGTTGAACCATGCTTCCGTGCAGTGTTTTGAAACATATGAGCTTAAGAAGCTCAACACAGTCTTGAAACAACTGTTTCAAGATTCCCATCCCTAAAGATTATCAGACACAAAGTGATGAGCAAAATCTGGTGTGGATTCTGGGGGAAAATTGACATTTTCTGGATTTAAGCCTGGAAGAGATTAGACCTTTAAACTTTCACTGTAAATAAAGTGTGGTCACTTGGATCCCTGCCTGTATGTCCTCCCTCTTTGACATTTGTTACTAATTTTACATCTTCCCTGTGTATGACTTAAAAAAAATACTCAGATCAGAAGGACTTGAATCCCTGGCATAACTCTCAAATGTGTACCTTAAAGCAGATAACATAGGCTGGAGGAAAGCATGTATAATGTAAGCAGAATTGGTCTTAGCACAGAACCCTGTGGAACTCTATAATTAGCATGATGTGGAAGCATGGTGTGTGTGACTAGTGCATTTATACACTATTCTGAATTTAATCATCTCTGGATCTCTTCCATAGCATGCCTTTGTCATGTTTTGTTAAAACATCCTGCTATATGTTCCAGCATAATTGGTCACTTCCCACTAGTTAATCCAGGGATTACTGTGATATGACTGAAATCTGTTTAATAAAATAAAAAATACAATAACTAAATGTCTGATTGTTGTAATTGCTAACAAAGTGTGGCTACTGTCTCTTTCTCCAGATCTTTACTTTCATATCTTGAGTAAAGAGTTAAAGAGTTTAAGAGTACAAAGAGTTAAATACTATCTTTAAAACAAATGAAAATTAAAACCAGGTTAGTTTGAAAGAAATGGTTTTTAAAAGGTATTATAAAACCTCTGCCTCCTTTTTATACATCTATACTCGTGTTTTACTGACATGACCCCCCTATTGAATAGAATAGATTTAATTGTCAATGTTACAAGAACAACGAAACACAGCACAAATTTTGCCTCCGTGGGGTCAATAAAGTCTTATCTTATCTTATCTTATCTCATCTTATTCCTGGTCCCAGTTGATTAACACTGCAGTGTTAATCAACTGGGACCAGGAATAAGATGTTGGGCCCCTTGTTGTGACACTGTGGTGTAGATTGTAGTTTTATTAAATCCTGAGACACACAGAAAGAAACCAGTGATCTAGAGTTTAGA